CCTTAAACTGAAAGAGCCGCTAGAATAGGAACAGAATAACCATAAAATATTCAATATTCACAGAACACAGTAAGGGCTAAACTAACCTTGGTTTTAGGTGGTGCATTTGAAGAACCAAGATATTTAGACATATGTCTGAGAAAATAAGCCTATCATTTATTTCTTTTCAGACCCTAAGGTAACAGGTGATTTTCCTTTTTAAGTTTACCTCATTTGAAGACAATGTCCTTCCTCAATGGACACAGAGGCTGAAGAGCCCATCAGAAAGCAAGGTGGTCTCTAAGCCACTGCACCAGCCTTTTATTTTTATTTTTTGGACAGGGTATCCATTAGAGATTGACTGTTAGATCAGTAGGTGACACTGCTTGATTTTAATCCCCCCTGCTTCTACTGTAAATTCAGCTCATATAAAAAAACTAATTAAAAGGAATCACACCCTAATAAAAAACTAATCACTGATGCATAACTCAACTGTCAGAAATTAAATAGTGGCCATTTGGCATAGCTGGTCTAATACACAAGCAAGATTCAGAAGAGAACTTCAGGAGAAAATAGTGATGAACCCACCAGAAAAGGGGAGAAAGACATGTAAGATATGTTGATGAGCTCTCAGCTAGCTGGTTCTCCTCTTAGCCATCCTTCTCTGTGAATTTACAGCCTCTCCTCTTTTTTCAGGGTCCCTAAAGGTGAGCATCTGGGGGGCTGTCTTGGGCCCTGTGCAATTTTCCTAGTTTACTCTGTTCTTAGAATTTCCATCTTTTTTACATGCCTTCAGTGAAGGTCTCTATATAATACTCACAAATCTTGCTTCTACTTCCAACTCCTCTCTTACAAATTTAGTACTGCATTTCCAAAATTTCTTGGATATCTACTGTCATCTCAAATTCACCATATTCAGAACCAAACTCATCACCACCCACTGATTTCCATTCCTCCTTCCTTCCTTCCTTCCTTCCTTCCTCCCTCCCTCCCTCCCTTCCTCCCTCCCTCCCTCCCTCCCTCCCTCCCTCCTTTCCTCCCTTCCTCCCTCCCTCCTTCTATTGGTACTGTGGTAGACCTGGGGCACAGATAAGGATAAGGCACTCCTTGACCTTAAGGAGCTCAGAGTTTGTTCCAAATTGGAGAATCAAAACTTGAGTCAAAAAAGATCTAAGTGTCCTACCTCAAAACCCTTATTTTGTGTACAAGGCAACCAAAGCCCAGAGAGATCAAATGGCTTGTTTAAGGTCACAATTGCTATTGGCAAAGCCAGGCATTAAACCCAGCACTCCTGATCTGCTAATTTCCATCAAGGACATCATACTTGTCCCAGCCACTCTACTTAAGATCTGAGGAGACACATGATTCCTCACCATGTCCCAATCTCAACAACCAATCAAAAGCTTTCTTTTGATGTCTTTAATGTCTTTAATTTAATTTAATTTAGACATTAAATAAAGACATTTAATTTCTTTAATGTCTTTCTTTTGAACATCTCTCACACCTGCCATTTCCTTTGCTTTCTTACCATCAGCAGGCCAATCATCTAGGTCAACATGACCTTCACACATCACCCTGAACTTGCCTGCAGAGATGTTCAGTCTCCCTGGTACTTCCTGCACTAGGACATTTCCCCTGCCTAACCTACACCACCCTCCAATTTGAACCATATGTGGCTACCATGATAACATTTCTAAAACACTTGGTACACATCATACTTCTGCTCCAAACCCCACAATGAATCTCAGATATGCTCAGCACACTGTGTGGGAGAAGAGGTCTGTACTTATGGGAAAATACCACTTGCACTCTACCCCTTGGAGAATTATTTTCTCTTGAACTAGTATCTCTCAAACATATATGACCAAAGAACTTCCTTTTTGCAAGGAACACACATTACCTCCCCTCAAATCCAGTGGTGGCAGAAACACACTGTGGAAAGCAATAGCCTGTAGGCTACAGTTCAACAGGTTGGCCAGGCAGCCCAGACTTCCTTTATTCTCCTTCCCATCCTTCCAATGACTGCCTGTTCTGGCAAAACTGCTCCATTCATCATTATTTAATACTTTATTTTCACAATTTCTCCAACTGGAAATATTCTACTTCTTCCTTTCCACTTACTTAAATCTTATGCTTCTTCCAAAATTCAGTTCAGGTCTCATCTCTTCAATAAATCATTTCCCAACTCTCTCATCCCAAACTCCTGTAGGATGTATTTACTTGTATCAAAAAACCAAAGTCTCAACAGCAGAAAACACGCATAGCTCTCAGATGGGTCAAGAAGCTAATTAAATGGCAAAATTTTCCCTAAAAAATACCTTTAAATTAATCTACAAGGTAAGATTATATTACATTTCCAAGAACTTGATTTCTACAAAGCAATCAGGATCTAAAAGGAGGGGGAAAAGGATATTTAACATCAATAACATATTCACTATTACTGACAATGAATTATGCTTTTTTAACCAGAATAACTTTAGGAAGACACTAGGAAAGTCTCATGCCTTCATTTTCATTTTGCAAAAAATTTCAAGAACCAGCTAATTAATGCTATCATGAGAAGAAAAGTGAATAGTGTACAGAAAGAACAAAATCATTACAGATGCCATAAACACCACTAAGTGAATATTATTCTCTTCCCATTTCTAGTAATTTTTTTCACATGATATAAACAAAACTAGTCTCATTTATTTAAAAGGTAACATTTCTGCATATCATTATTTAAAAATTTTTTTTCTTAATGGTGAAAAGATGCCTTGTGATAATAATGCCCAATTCAGTTCCTATTTAAAGTTAAAAGCAATCATTAAATGTCATATTTTAACACACATGTATCTCCACAATCTCCCTAAGAAGCTTCAGGTTATAGAAGAGCATGTGAAGAGAAGGAAATCTGAGGTACCCCTACTCTTTCTACTTTCTGAATTGAAAATGTATAAAACTCACCTGTGGACCTCCCACCTCCTCCTGACCACCAATGCTTGCCATCCCAGAGCCATTCATTCCCAAAAAGCTATGACAACAGAAGAGCAGTCATCAGCCTGGATCTCCAGTATAAGCTGGGAAGAATCTTGAACTGTCTGTACTCTGGACCTTACTGGTATGTCTAAGATTACCATGACTGATTGCTCTTCCCTGCCTCTGCTCAGCTCAGCTCAGCCCATGCTTACTTGAACTTATAATGCCTTCCTGATCTCTTTAATATCTTCAGGCTTGACCTATCATCATAGGGACCAGTCCTGTTCTTCTAAGACTTTATGTTCATCTTGTTTTACCCTCTTGCTGGTCTAGCACATCATATCTGAAGATCCCTTTGCTCAGATGAGCCCAGTCTTCTGAGGTGAGAGAAGGTTTAGCCTCAAGCCATATCACCAACCTTATTATCCCACATGAACTCTTCACTTTAAGCAAACTAATCCATTCATGGAGACTTGAATTATCCAAACCATACACATCCCCCATTTTGTTTTTCAAAAGTCCTGTCCTGTAAGACCCCGTTCAAGGCTCTGCTCCCATGAAACCTTCTCTAATTTGGCTTCAACCTCTGAACTAGTGTACTGACTGTCTTCATCAGAGATTCATGCAGCAGGTCCTGCAAAACAACAGTCCCAAAGCATGTCTCCAAGGAGAAGACTCTCTCTTGGAGAGTTACAGTGCAAATTATCATATTAAAGACTTAGAGGAGCGCCTGGGTGGCTCAGTCGGCTAAGCGTCCGACTTCAGTTCAGGTCGATCTCGCGGTCGTGAGTTCGAGCCCCGCATCGGGCTCTGGGCTGATGGCTCAGAGCCTGGAGCCTGCCTTCGATTCTGTGTCTCCCTCTCTCTCTGCCCCTCCCCAGTTCATGCTCTATCTCTGTCTCAAAAATAAATAAACGTTAAAAAAAAAAAAGACTTAGAAATCTTACAGCAAAGAAATCTTCCAAACAATTTTGAATGCCCTGTTACTGAAACTTATTTAGCTGTGGAATCCCTTTTCTATCTTCTATCCTTTAATAATAATTTGGAAGCACAGATATAAGGAAACAGGTCTCCACAAGTCAGTGGCATTTCCCGTAAGTGATTTTGTATTCTAATGTGTCCATGTGCCCATGTCTTCTTTCCAGTTGGTTGGAGTAGTAATAATCCAGCAACTCCAATTAGCTTTGGGCTTTCTCAATGTCTATTGCTGTCTTTATCCTCACATCACCCTGCTTGCTAAGTGTAAAGTCATGCACAGTGCCTAGTACATAGTGAATACAGAAGATTTGAGCTACTTTCATTTTGAAGCAGTAGAGAATGTGATTAGGAGTTGGGTCTGTGGAAAATGACTGACCCCGTTCTAAGTCTGGCCCAGCCCTCACCAGTGAGATTGAGGACTATGTCTGTTTTGCTCATTCATGCCTTATACACACACAGTGCCTAGGACAGAACATACAGTTAGTTAAGTATTTATCGAGTGAATTAAGGACAAAGCAGTTCTCAACCCAAATGATTTTGCCTACCAGGAAGACATTTGACAATGGCCGGAGACAGTTTGGGCTGTCACAATTAGCATCTGGTGGGTGAATGTCAGGGATGCTATGAAACATCCTACAATGTACAGGACAAAGAACTATCTAGCCCCAAATGTTGAGAAACCCAGAGTTATGCTGATCAGGGATAAATTTCTAAATACAAACACTATTTGGCTTTGAGCAAGCTGTCGAATTTTTCTAAGTCTTAATTTCCTCATCTGTAGCATGCAGAACTGATTATAAGATTGTAATAAGATAATATATATACAAAAGAGATAAACCGAGTAACACATATGAGATGTTTAACACAGTGATTGGTGCATAGAAAGTATGACCTATAAATGTGACCCGTGAGCATTCTTACTGTCAGCCTTTATTCATTGTCTCATAATGACATGAAGCTTTCAACTGAAATCTTCATGGTCTCAGAACTCACTATATCAATTCTAGAGTGAGTACTTTTATCAAAATAAACTCTGTACCCCCATTTATGTCTCCTTTACAGTCAGATTTTATTTATGTGCTCACCAGTGGCTCAATAGTGAAAATGTTACTCAAGAAGAGCATGCTGTCTTCCTGAACCAGCTTCCTCTGATTCTCAAAGGTGTGGGACAAAATGGAAAGACGTTCTCGGAGTGAAGGATCAATAACGCACTCTTCAAGAAACTCATCAGTCTCATTCTTTTCCTCTTTGCTCAGATCATCACAGACCCTAAAAAAAATAGAGGAAACATGAGATTCATTCTGATACTCCCATGAAGAACATTGTAAAGGCCTCCCCTCCAGTCCGTCCTGTTGGGAATGGTCTTGCCCATCACCCTGAGGTAGTCCCTCCTTGCCCTAAGTCTGTAACATACCAGATGGGTGACTTTGGACTTTAACCTCTTAAGAGCATCAGTTTGCTCATCGGTTAGTCACTTCATTTGACAAGCCCTCCCAGGTTTCCTGTTCCACTCTTGCCCATTTACTTACTCCTGAGCCCTTATGTATATTTAGACAAATATTTTGTTTCAGGTAATTATGTTTCTCAGGCTTCTTTTTTTTTTTTTAGTTTATTTATTTATTTTGAGAGAGACAGAGCACAAGAGTGGGAGAGGCAGAGAGAGGGAGAGACAGAATCCCAAGCAGGCCTTGCACCATTAGCACAGAGCCCGATGCAGGGCTTGAACTCACAAACTGTGAGATCATGACCTCAGCCAAGATCAAAAGTCCGACGCTTAACCAACTGCACCATTCATGCACCCCTCCCAAGCTGTTTTTTAAATATTTAACATTTACCCTACCTCTTACACTTGAAAAACAATTTTGTTTCTTTTTAAACTTGCTTAGATTTTTTTTTAAGTTTAGTTATTTATTTTGACAGAGACAGAAACAGCGTGAGTTGGGGGGAAGAAGAGAGAGAATCCCAAGTAGACTCCATGATGCCAGTGCAGAGCCTGACACGGGGCTTGAACTAACAAAACCATGAAGTCATGACCTGAGCCACCCAGGAGCCCCCGCTTAGCTCTGATTCTTTCTCAGCTGTTAGTCCCCTAGAGAAAAGAATCTGGAACCAGCAAGGACCAGTCTTGGTTACTGATTCTACTACCATTTACTAGCTCTATGACTTTGGGGGTTATTGAAGCCTCAGTGCCTTCACCTAAAAAACAGAAATAATAGAAGCTCCTCCATCATAAAGATGTGCTGACGATTCAACATGAATAAGGACCTGGTGCAGTTCCTAGGACACAGCAGGTACTCAATAAATGCCAGTTTTCTCCCTGGGTCAACCATAAGCAATTACCAAGCTGTAAAGCTTTTAAAATGCTCAAACCACACCTAAAGTGAGCTCCTCTTTTCTCTCCTTCTAGCTCTTAACATGGTAAGAGCTAGAAGGTAAGTCAGAAAAGCAGCCTTTCCCAACCCTCTCCTCACTACCCTCACCAGAGCTTTGCTCACAGTACTCCTAGTATCTGTTACTTCACCTGCACTTAGAAGACTGAATTCTATCTCCTCCCAGGATGTATGACTATTTTCCAGAATTTTACTGGTATTATCAATGGTGAGAGACAGCTTATTTAGTTAAGTGAGTGCTCAGTAAGAACCCTGAGTCACCAAATCCCTGTCCCAGCCCCAACTATTTTCTAAATGACTTCATGCAAACCGTTATGTTCAGCAATGTCAAATAGCTCTTTTTTATAACTTTAGCATTCAGGGTCCTTTGGTCACAGAACATAAAGAAGTCAAAGAAATGGGTTCAATGTGCTCTGGTCCCGAGGAAGAAAGCATCAGAGGATGCACAGGCTTCCTTTTCGTTGCTAGCTTGAAAGCAGCGTCCAAGGTAACCAGAGCAGCAGACCTTGTACACTGCTGAGACAAATTAAAGAGATCTCAGTCCACAGAAAGAAGGGAAACTACTTACTCCTGTGAGTGGAATTTTTGATACCTACCTTTAGGATACACCCTGAAGAAACAATCATGGATAAAAACAACGACATAGCCAGAAAGATGTTCATCAAAGTGCTAGCCACACTACCAACAGATGTGGGTGAATTTGATGTGAGAGACTGAAGGACCGGTTAAAAAAATAATGGGAATCATAAACATTACATTTCTTTAGGTTATTGGGTTATTGGGGGTGCAGTGTGGGGATGAAATGTCTTGTATGGATCGAGGATGAAAATTCTGCATGAACTGATGAGAATGATTACCTCAAACCTTACAACAGAAAACAAAATAGAACAAAACAAAAATTCACAAAAGCTCTTCTCCCACACTGTTGGCATTCGTGAAGCACTAACAACCACATAATGCGAAGGGGGTCATGATATACTGTATGTCTCCCTCTGTGCCCTCTGATTAGAGAACTGGAGCCATGGCTGAGAGTCTAAGAAGGGAACGTGCAACACCTTGAGCTGGGCTGACTCCAACAAGTGATTCTCTATACCTCAGTCTATTGTCTGGCCATCTTGTCCTGCTGGTATTCATGGTCTCCTACATTCAGAGGGGTTTCTGTTTTACAGTGAGGAAACCTCTTATCAGAGAGCTAGCCACCTTCAGGCATCAAATACAGTCCAGCCTATAGACTATAGTGAATGGGGAAGAACTGTGTCTCAGGTACAGTTGCATTGAACCAGTAATGTTCCCTCATGTTGAGGTGCTACAGACCCTGCTCCTTTGCAGCACCCTCAAACGACAGTAACTGGGTGCTGAGGAGATTAAAAACTAAGAGCCTTGGGCTTCAAGAGAGAAATACTCCCATATCCACACACTTGGCATGGAAAATATGAAGCCATCCATCTTCAAATGTACCGTGTGACCCTGGACACCAGGCAACTCTGTGATGACTATTATAAACTAAAGACTAGAGATCTCCCTTCCTGTTTACCAAGTACCATTCAAGTCTTCAGATTCTTGTACAACCCTACAGAAGAGAAGGGCCCCTCAAATACAAGTAAGATTAAATTTATTACTAGCCACAGGGCAGGTTCAAAGTCCAATTAAAACTGATCTATCTAGAGAAACACATCACTTCCTACACCTGAATGGTGTGGAAAAAAAATCCATGCTGACAACTTTGTGGGGGTTCCATCGAGGATTCTTGAAGTTCTTGTATAGAACAAATCTAGAATTATAGCCAAATGCTATTAAAACAATGGCCATGACCATCATGGAGAAATGGGGAGCAAAAATCCTCAAAAGCCCATGCCAAGTCTCTGAATAGAATAAACTGTGATTATAATGAGTATAAAAGAATCTTGTAGGATGTTTTATAATCTCGCAGGACAAGGAGGAGGAGGCAAGGAGAGAGGAATGAATCCTCCATTTCTGAAGAGATTAATTTCTCTGCAAGTCCCAGAAAAAACATCAACAAACATGAAGACCCAAAGGAAAACTTTTTAAAGTTCCACATATCTGATTCTGAAGGTTAAAAAAAAAAGAAAAACGAAACAAATCCCAGAACTTCTTCCTAGGGGGAGTGACATCTTCATTGTCAGAGTCTAGAGCCTAGGATTAGCCCAAGGTCCTCAAATATGGACACGTGTCACGAGGTTGGTACCAACATGTTTTGGTAGGTAAAGAGGAAGTCATCCTTCTTAGAATGGAAATAATAAACAGCTAAAAAGGAATACGGTTTCCTACTCCTCATTAAGGCTGAAATTCGAGATCTCCAAGTCTTGACTCAGGCCACATCATTAAGATGCTGGAGGACAGAAACCACAATGGCTAGAATAGTCTTGAGGGTATCCATTAAAGCAATTAGCATTCTCAACCTACCAGTGAGCAACTTTCAGCCCCTGTAAGATGAATGCCTTAGGACCAGCTTTAAGCCATATTATAACTAGAGAGCAGCAGGCAGATTCTTGAGTCTCACCTAGAAATCTACACTGACGTATTAAATCTTAGGTCCTTGGGGAGCTTCAAAAGGAAACTGTAGTCTCTCAAAGTATATGCATGAGCCCATTTAGAATAGATCCTCTCTGTTCCAAGTTGAGGACCAAACTAATGGTGTTTGCCTTGCTTTTCAAGAGGATGAGCATTCCATGGCTAGTTACGTCCAGGACAAAAATTCATAACTAATAACATGAACTTTGATTTTTAAAAATACATTAAAAAATGAAAGTTGTGGCAGATTTGGGGACATATCAAGGCACAAGACAGGCATAAAATAGAAAAGACTCTCTGGTCAAATAAGCAATTGGGCATAAATGGCTTTGTTTCCCCCCTATTTTACCTCTTGCCCTAGCCATGTGGCCCTAGGAGAGCGGGGGAGGGAGAAGGTAAGGAGCAGCATACTCAATAAACTCTTCACTTAGATCAACCAATCCAGTTTGGAGAAACATGAGTTGGGCTGCCATGATTCCCAAAGTGAAAATGGAAGTATTCTTATTTAGTCATTTGAAACCACTTTTCAAGTTCATTATTTAATGGAGGGGCATAGTCTTAGATGATGAAAGGAGGCTTCCAATCATGGTTATGGAAATGCTATTCCATGTTATTCCTTTTTTACAAAAAAAATACTATAGGAAATAATAGACCGAGAGAGATAATAAAAGAAAGACAACACAAGAGAAAAGGAAAAATAAGCCTCAGAATAATATGAAAGAAATAGGGGCATGAGTATCAGGGGAGGTAAAGTAGAGGGGAAAAAAGAAAGAAATGTCCATCCATGTATAGTTGAAATTCTCTATTCCTGGCATCTCTGATAATAACTGGTTTGAATTTTTTTTCTTAAGTTTAACTATTTAAATTAACTTCCTTAAACACTTTTTGGACATTGGCATGGCACCAATCATGTCTTATACATATAGTCAAACACACATAGTTGAAGCTGAAGCTGGCTTTCCTTCTGATAGTGTGTACCCATCCTCCTAAAAAGATTATGCCCACAGGACAAGCAGGATATTGAAACACGGTTTACTGGCATCTCTGTGTTTGTACCTGCTCTCCTATTTTATCTTTAAACATGCTTGGACCATTCTCATTGTTGGTACACTTGTGAACGAAGGAATCAGGACAAATGAAGCAGTGGATGAGCAATTTTCTCTTGCCTTTTGAACTACTGGCATTTCTATGGTATGAGGCAAACTGAAGTTTTTAAGCAGGAAAGCCTTTTCTTTTCTCACTTTTTAAAGATGTCACAGTGGTAATCCAGTGATTAAAGCTCATTGTCTGAATGATAAAGCTTCTGGTCCACTGTGTCCTGCCATTGTCACAGCTCCTTCTGATTCAATTAGGGACAGCACACTGGGGGATTTCTGCCTGGTTTCCATGGACCCAAGACTTTTATTTTTATCACATACTAACTTGGTTTTAAACAAAGCTATGAAGCTTCCCAGGGCTAATCTTTAATGAAAATGGAGAGGCAAATAAAAAAGGCTGAAATAAATTCCAATGAAAGCAGCAAAAGTGTTAATTCAGGGAGGGTGGAAGGAGATAAAAATGAAATTGGACTTTAAAAGAGGCAAGGACAGACTTGGTAAAAAGAAATACTCAAAATTGAACAGTGATGAGATTAGTTAAAAGAGTTTGGTTTTCCATTTCATTAATTTTCTCCACTGCCTGAAGTATCATTTTAAAAAGTAGAAGATTAAAGATACCAACAAGGAATCATTATTAAATTATATGGTTAGCAGGGATTGAGCAATGCTACTAAAACTGAGAATATAAAAGTCATTTTATCCAAGCCTTTCTTTTTCCTAATTCTTTGTTTTCTGGAAATATTTTTTCACCGAAAAAAAATTCCACATTGATCCCAATCCAAAAGAGGTTATTTTTAGAAACTATGAAATCTGACCAATCTGATTAGGGTTATGAGACAAAATACAGACCTGTAGGTTAGTTTTGAAAGAACAGTGAAAAAATGATATATTCGGTCTTCATTTTTCTTTTAAAGTTTGTTTATTTATTTTGAGAGAGACAGAGACAGTGCAGAGAGAGGGAGAAAGAATTCCAAGAAGGCTCCATACTGTGAGCACAGAGCCCAACTGTCTGGGATCAAATCCACATAACTGTGAGATCCTGACCTGAGCCATAGCCAAGAGTTGGATGCTTAACCTACTGAGATACCCAGGTGCCCCTGATATATTTGGTCTTTAAAATCCAGGAGTTTAGCTACTAATAAATTAAAGCCAGGTTAAGATGAACTGAGGATGGGCAATACTGTGTTCCACATAGCTCTTTAAATGAAATTCTTTAAGTTAAATTCAAGTTTTTAAATTCTTTTCTTTAAATGAAAAAAGGAGCATCATACACTGGAACCAAGCTATAAAAAGCTGACCTTGTTTGAGGTGGTTAAAAACTTACCACAAAAGTCACTGATTTTTCATAATGACTGAACTTTGAGGTCCCCCAAATTATAGCATATAGGTGTTTTTCTTACAAACCTATACTTTTCTCTGTCTTCCTCTTCCTGGGTAGCAAATATCTTCCACTGGAAATGGGCAATGATGTTACTGCGGTTGTGAATAGTTACAGTTCGCTGACTGGCCAGAGATATGTAGGTTTTTTCAATGATCAAGGAATTCCTGTCCAGCCTTATATTCATGTCTATGGCAGCTCCATAAAGAGATAGATATATTTTTTCACCTAGAAATTAACAAAGTATAAACACACATTGAGATTTATTCTAGAATGATGCTACTAGGCAATTTTTTTCCCCAAGATAAAGTGATAGCACAAGCACTAGACATTTTATTCTTTTTTCTCCCCCATCAATCCAGAAATCAGACATGATCAGAAAACTTAAATATTATGTATGGTGTAGTTATAGAGAATCAGACTATCTTATTTGGTCACTGTAAAAACCACATAAAATATGAATTTCTATGGTGGGTATGACAAGACCTTTTCTTCTTTGTAACATTTCTAAATCCTACAGCCTGATCACGAGGGTACTTGAGTTCTAGAATTATAACCACATGCCTCATTTTTATTCAAAACATGAATTGGAAATCCGATTCCTTTTTTAAATAAGAAATTGCTTTTTTTTAAGTTTATTTATTTATTTCAAGAGAGGGATGGGGCGTCTGGGTGGCGCAGTCGGTTGAGCGTCCGACTTCAGCCAGGTCACGATCTCGCGGTCCGTGAGTTCGAGCCCCGTGTCGGGCTCTGGGCTGATGGCTCAGAGCCTGGAGCCCGTTTCCGATTCTGTGTTTCCCTCTCTCTCTAGCCCTCCCCCGTTCATGCTCTGTCTCTCTCTGTCCTAAAAATAAGTAAACGTTGAAAAAAAAATTAAAAAAAAAAAAAGAGAGGGAAAGAGATTGGGAGTGGCAGAGAGAGAGGGAAGGAGAGAGAGAATGCCAAGCCGGCTCCAAACTGTCAGCACAGAGTCCGATGTAGGGCTTGAACTCATGAACGATGAGATTATGACCTAAGCTGAAAACAAGAGTCCAGTGCTTAACTGAATCAGCTACCTAGGGCCACCAGGCCACCCACCACCCTTTTTTTTTTTTTTTTTTTTTGCTGTTTATTTATTTTTGAGAGAGAGGGAAAGCACAAGTTGGAGAGTGGCAGAGAGGGACACAGAGGATCCAAAGCAGGCTCGGTACTGAGAACACAGGGCCCAAAGGAGGGCTCAAACTCTTAACCATGAGATCATGGCCTGAGCTGAAGTCAGAGGCTCAACTGACTGAGCCACCCAGGCTCCCCGGAATTCTGATTCTTTTTTTTTTTTTTTTAATGTTTATGGCTGAGAGAAAGAGAGAGAACGAGTACGAGCAGGGAAGGGGCAGAGACAGAGGGAGACACAGAATGTGAAGTCGACTCCAGGCTTCAAGCTATCAGCACAGAGCCCAATGTGGGGCTCAAACTCATGAGCCACAAGATCATGACCTGAGCCAAAGTCAGATGTTTAACCAACTGAGCCACCCAGGTGCCCATGGTTCTTAAAGTAACTATACCAAGTATATCTGGGAAGAGCTGAACGTCATGCAAGGATCTAAGTCCAATCAAAGGAGATCAGAAAGAAAGAATAACTAACTTCATTAGTAAAAAGCTGACTACTTGAAAGGAACCACTTCTTTAAACAGCAGCAATGAAAAGAAAACAAAAATGAAACACACACACACACACACACACACACACATATACACACACATTCTATCTGGATTACATAGTTACATAGTAGTTACATAGAAAGAAAACAAAATAGGGACACAAGGGGGATCAGTTGGTTAAACATCTGACTTCAGCTCAGGTCATGATCTCACAGTTTCTGAGTTCAAGACCCACATCAGGGTCACTTTTGTCAGCACAGAGCTGCTTCAGATCCCCTGTCCCCCTCTCTCTCTGCCCCTTCGCTCATGCACTCTCTCTCTCTCTGAAAAATGAAAGAAAGAAAGAAAGAAAGAAAGAAAGAAAGAAAGAAAGAAAAAGAATTCTTGTCAACTTTTAAACTTTCTGATTAGCTAAATTTAACAATCTGGTAGGTGGAAAAACTCATTTTAATTTGCATAGTCTTAATTATGGGTGATGTTGAACATCTTTTCATCTATTAATTAGATGTGTGTGTGTGTGTGTGTGTGTGTGTGTGTGTGTGTGTGTGTGTGTAGTTTTTTTCTGTGAGAAGCCTATTTTAGCCTTGGTGGTTTTCCTTTTGAGAAGTTTACCTTTTGGTTATCAATTTGTGAGATCTTTTTGATATTAAGAAAATAGTTTTTGGGACGCCTCCGTGGCTCAGTTGGTTAAGCGTCCAACTTTGGCTCATGTCATGATCTCACAGTTTGTGGGTTTGAGCCCTGTGTTGGGCTCTGTGCTGACAGCTCAGAGCCTAGAGCCTCCTTTGGATTCTGTGTCTCCCTCTCTCTCTCTCTGCTCCTCCCCTGCTCACGCTCTGTCTCTCTCTCAAAAACAAACATTAAAAAAATTTAGCTTTTTGTCATACCTGTTGCACTTTTTTCCTCTTTTAGATATTTGTATTTCTTTATGACTCTTTCCTAAGTCTTTTTTTCTGAGTCTTTATGTAGTCTAATTTAATTCTTTTCTTTGTGGCTTTTCCGACCTGGGCCAGTTCACCCATCCTTAGGCAACCTGGTGGTCCCCCGCTCCCAGGAAGTCACCATATTGATGCCGAACTTAGTGCGGACACCCGCTGGGCGTAGCGCGCTACAGCCCAGAACTTCTGTGCTCAAGCGATCCTCCTGGCTCAGCCTCCCGAGTAGCTGGGACTACAGGCCCGCGCCACTGCGCCCTCTTTTCCTTATGACTTTTAAAAATAAGTTTATTTATTTTGCAATTACATTCTTATTTCAACTTCCACCTTCCCTTAAAAAAAATTTTTTTTAACATTTATTTATTTTTGAGACAGAGAGAGACAGAGCATGAACGGGGGAGGGTCAGAGAGAGAGGGAGACACAGAATGTGAAGCAGGCTCCAGGCTCTGAGCTGTCAGCACAAAGCTCAACGAGGGGCTTGAACTCACAGACCATGAGATCTGACCTGAGCCAAAGTTGGAAGCTTAACTGACTGAGCCACCCAGGCGCCCCATCCACCGTCCCTTTAAAAGTAGCTCCTTTGAGGAGGGCACCTTTTGGGATGAGCACGGGGTGTCGTATGGAAACCAATTTGACAATAAATTTGATATAAAAAAAAAGTAGCTCCTTTCTTAAAGAAACAAAGGAGACCATAAACAGGTCTGGCTCATTGTACTATTTAAAATGAGACATACGTGATTTTTTTTTCCCCCAGCAATGATACTAAACTACCAGGCCAAAATTTTAGGAAAAATAGGACCAAAAAGATCAATGAGCATGCATGGAAGAACGTATATGAACACATATAGAGAAAGTTAACAGAGTTAAATATTACACTGGAATTGTCTGTATCTTGCAGGGAACTTCAGTCCTTGGATGTGGCAATCATGGACTGGTTTCACCCTCAGAAGCCTAGCATAAGCAACTCATTTCTCTTTAGAGGAAAGTACCTGTATATCCAAAAGGTACAGAGATTTCAAAATTTTCAACATTTTTTAGGTACACAGCCCAATATAACCAGGACAAAACTCCATTTATTTGAATGAGCAGATATAAGAAAAACAGAAACAGATTAACAAAGAATTATATACTAGAATCATCACATAGACTGAAAACCAACTACACTTAAAGAAACAAAAGATACTGAGAACAAACTGAGGGTTGATGGGGGGTGGGAGGGAGGGGAGGGTAGGTGATGGGCATTGAAGAGGGCATCTTTTGGGATGAGCACTGGGTGTTGTATGGGAACTAATTTGACAATAAATTTCATATAATTAAATAAATAAATAAATAAATAAATAAATAAATAATAAATAAACAAAAGATGAACTTGAAGCTATACAAAAGGAGTGGGAAATCAAACAAAGATCTAGAAAATGTGAAAAAGATCTTATGTGGATCCGGAGAAACTTAACAGAAACCCACGGGAGAGGGGAAGGAAAAAAAAAAAAAGAGGTTAGAGTGGGAGAGAGCCAAAGCATAAGAGACTCTTAAAAACAGAACAAACTGAGGGTTGATGGGGGGTGGGAGGGAGAGGAGGGTGGGTGATGGGTATTAAGGAGGGCACCTTTTGGGATGAGCACTGGGTGTTGTATAGAAACCAATTTGACAATAAATTTCATATATTGAAAAAAAAATCCAAAAAAAAAAAGAAGGTACAGAAAGAAAAAAGAAAATGTGAAAAAGAGTCATACTCTAGGCTCTTATAGAAATAAAATAAAATCAAATCACCTAAAATTTTAAATCTCTAAAAAAAAGATTAGTAAGATAATTTTAATAATTTTATCAAAAATTAGTTAAATGGAATGTGGTTCCGAAAATACAAAAGGCAATGAAGAAGTAAAAATATATGAAAAATGAACAATGAATGAGTAAAAGACTAGGTAGATGGAGTGAAAATGTATAAAAGTGTTTAATTGGAAACTTGGAGAAGAAATATATAATAAAGCAAAGACAGTATTTCAAGAGATGATGGTTATGAGTTTTCTAGGATTGATTAAATGTATCAATTTACAATTCAAAAAGCCCAACAAATGTCAGGTGGAATAACTTAAGAGAAATTAATACATGAAAATATTGTAGTAAAAGAAAACCAAAGAAAACCAAAGACAAAGAGAAAATCCTAAAAACAGCCAGAGGAAAAGATAGATATATCTCAAAACAGACAGATTATCTTCAAAAGGATGCATGGTTAGAAATACAGCTACCTTTTCAACTGAAACAATGGAAACTAAAAAACAAACAAACAAACAAAAATGGAATGGCTTATTCAATGTGATGAAGTAAAAAACAATGCCAACCAAAAAGTTATAGTTTTTCATTCTTTTTTTTTTTTGTCTATAAATATCTTTGTTTTCTCTTTATTTTTAAGGATTTTGTCAAAAAGTAAAGGATTATAAATTAGCATTATTTTTCTTTCAGCACTTGAATAATACCATGTTACTATCTTCTGGCTTCATAATTTCAGCTGAAAAGTTTCTCATCAGTATTATTAGTATGCCCTTTAAGGTAATGTGTCTTTTTTTCTTCTGACTCCTTTTAACACATCCTCTTTGCTTTAGTTTTCAGTAGTGTTTGTACTAACAAGTGGTTGCTAAGCTTTGTGAACCATG